AGCGTCTTTGCTCCTAGTAGCGACCTTTGTTACTAGTAGCTACTTGCTCCTAGTAGTACGGCCAGGAGCCCCTAGTAGCGTTCTTGTGCCTAGCAGCGATGGTAGGAGCCTCTACTAGCTACTTGCACAATCGCTTCAATTGCTCTCGTGACTGCTCTCGTCATTTTCCGCATCAGCTCTCCTGCCTTGTCGCTCCGTATCGCAAATCTTCTGCTGGAAGCCTTGCAGATGTGATTGTTGGGAGGCTAGGCAAGATGGAACTTCCAACATGCGCCGAAATGGGTTGGTTCTTAGGTAGGCTGGTGTAGGCTACTGACACAAAGCTGTTCAACGGGCTTTGGAGAGCCAATTCGATGGTGTGCAATGCGTGCAAATCTGTGATTTGCTGACTTCTTCCTACCCTCCTGGCCTTCAGGCTGTACTGCGCCCTTGTGCCTGAGGGATCAAGTCTCCATACGCACTGTTGTATGGTAGGATATTGTCGGGTATTTTGAGGGTTTGAGACATTCAAGATCCCTGGGACTAGTGTCACTCATCCCTCACAAAGATTTTTCCCGAAAGGAAGACATCACTTTGCACAGTCCATGGAGACTACAGGTCAAACAAACCATGGACTCCAGACCCGGGTGGAGGATCAAAAAACACACTAATACAGTATGGGCTTTAACAAAAAGAACAAGTAGTAGTGGCAGTAGTAGCAGCAGTAGTTCTTTCTTTCTGTCTATCAATCTGTCCGTCTTTCTGTCTTTCTTTCGTTCTTTCTTTCCTTCTTTCGTTCTCTTTGTGTTTCTCTAGACCGTCCACCCTGACTCAAGACGAAGATGATAGCAGCGAATCAGAGTGTCTGTTTTTCCCATACTCTTCGGTTTTGGTTTTGGTTTTGAGTTGCCAGCAGGCACTCATGAGCGTCAATCCCGCTCAAACAAAGCCAGCAAATGCCACTGTGAGGTAAGGTTGTCACGTTCCTCTATCAGTGGCTCTGCAGGAACTATATGCGCATATTAACGCTGCATCCCACCAGTTGTGGAGATGTTTAAGTGCATGCCGTCAGACGCCGTCAGCACACTAAAATCCGATCGGCTTGGTGGTACCTGGCTAATCAATAGCACATTGAACCAACTGATGACATAATATAACACAGCTTGACAATACTAGAGGCCACCGCAATTGCAAAACGTGGATTCATGCTGGTACCACGTGGACGTGACGGCCACAAAACATGTTCAGAAAGTAATGGCATGCAAAGATTCATGCTTCCATCAGCAACAATCAGACAAGAGTGGTTGGTTACATCATAGTTCATCATTCCATTCTTGGGTCTGCATCTGATCTGTATGTTACTATACGACACAATAACTACTCGTGTCCGAGAGATCGTCAGCTACTTTGAGCCTACAGTTTCATTCCCGGGTGTAGAATTATCAAAACGAGCTTTGCAAAGGCTCTCAAACTCTGGACACCGATACCTATCTCACTGATGCATCAACGTTCTGGTTGACCAGCTCCAGTGGTTGCCAGATGTTACCTGTGATAGAGACAGAAAAAAAACATGAACAAGTAAATTCACTGTAAATCTGATGCCGCTGACAAAATTCAAATTAAAAATCAGCGGCGAACGAATAGGGCCTAATGCGCTGGTTCGTAGTCGCCGAAAATAGGCAGCACTATTGCACTGCGAACGACTTAAGAAAGTCAGGCACTGACAGGGGAGTAGTATTTTCCGTCTAAAACTGTCCTGGCCAAGGAAGTGATACAGTACATGTCCTTTTGATTCTTCTTGCTTGTTTTGCTTCCCCCCGGAAAATACTCGATGTACTCCCTTCCAGCTTCAGGAAAATCCTAGTTGCTTGCCCAGTGGCAAGACTCTCTGTGCAGTACGTGAGCACTTAGACCAAGGGTAAAGAAAGAACATGTTATCAGCACATCTGAATATTGATTGCGCTGCAATACGGCGAAAGCCTTTGTGAAGGAAATCATATATCATGGAATTTGCCAGACAGAACCATGCTGGACGTTGCTCTCACGCAATGTCAGCGCCTACGAAGGCACAAAATCAGAATGCAAAATTAGAGCTGATGGCTCACCAAAGAATATGAAGAACTTGGGTGGGACCCAGGAGACACCACAAAGCCGAGAGTCAGGTTTGACCAGCCTCTTACATGGTCCGGATTGGTGAGCCGTCAGCAAGCTCAGCGCTCTCCTCGAAGATGCGGGTTCAACTCAACCCAGATTCAGGTCGTTCCAGTTGTACACGGAGAAACCCTGCCAAAGGAACCGTCGTTTCCGTTTCTCTTGACTCAGTGGAACTGTCGAAATAACTGTAATTGAAAGTTGTACTAAGCTTTGATGATGTTCCGTTTCAACAGGGAGAGGCCAGGCTTGCAACAATTTCTCCAACCCAGCACCCAAAAGCCATACAAAGGAGGTGATGTCTGAGGAGCTTCTAATCATGGCTTCACCTGGCGTTATGCATTGTCAACTGCCTTGCATGAGGAAACATATCCATTCATTCAATGCAATTATTCAACACCAAGTGCAACAACTGGGTCTTGGAGGTCTTTCTGAGTCCAGAAAAAAAAGAGTAGAAAAGAGGGTCAACGAGTGGTTTCAACGACTTTGGTAATGCTGATCTAGGATTAATTAAGTAACCTCCCCCCTATTAGTCAAGCCCAGCGCGAGCCCCAATTGGCCCAGTACTAAACTAGTTTCAAACCTGAATTCCACATTCCACATATCCGTCACCCTGATCAAAAGCGTCCTTGGCTGAAACCTCCGCCAGAACAAAAAAGGCTTACTATTATATATATATATGTACATATAACTATGTTTGATTATCTTTTTGGGCAGTATCCAATATCTTCTCGCTCGCTGCTTCTCATCCTCCTTCTGCTTCATTCTCATCCATCATTATCATCCTCCGTCACCGTCTGCTTCTCATCATGCTTTTTCTTATCATCCTTCCCTGTTTAAACACCAAAAAAACTCACTAGCAAAATTATGTAATTTTCCCTTATTAAAACTCTATCAAAATCTTAAGATGCTCAAGATCACAAAGTAATCTCACGCGCCCTACCACCCTCTAACAGTAGGGGCCCCTCCCCCTATTAATCAAGCCCATCCTCTGGCCTCCATCTTGTTTTCCATCTCTTTCATCCTGCAATCCCCTTTCTTTTCCTAATCATCCCAATCATCCCAATCCAAATCTTGCCTACTCTTGTCATCATCTCATCATCCGTCATCAGGCCATCACCTTGATTCAGGGGATGTGGTCGGGTGGGAGGTTGATTAATCGATTATATGAGCTCCATTGCTATGGCTGCATATGACTGGAGTCGCATCATGTGAGTGTCACAAGCCCCTGGCACAAGCCTCTATGCACTGTGTGGGCACCTGGCCAGGGTTCAAAAGCCAATCAGTTGAACCCCGTCTCTTCACACATGTGAAGACTGGGCCTAACAGGGATCATGCTACGTAAGCGGACATGCTCTGCTTTTGACCTCTGTGGCATTTGAGCATGGATCTTGTTGAATCGTTAGTTCAATCAAGGCAGCAGGAATCATAGCAGGAATGCTACTTGATGCTCAAACACCAATCACACGTGCAGAAAGCCACCTGGCTCCATGTTCAAATCGAGAGCCTGAGGAGACGGGCTGTGATAACCCAAGCAAAGGACGATCAGATTGACTATCGGACTATCGCCCCTTTCGTAAAGATCAGCAAATGCTTTGAAAGTCTGGACAAAGCCACCATTCCAAT